AGAATGGGATGGCACTAGGATGCTGTAACACAGCGTTTAACTGGGGCATCTCACTGTCTCGCTATTTAAAATACTTGTTCACTGGAGCAGTCATCACTTGCTGATGTCAAAAAATGATCCCTTCTCTGGGATGTGTCAGCACTGCCTGCACCCAGATTAAAAACTAGCCAGGAAATGTATTTTATTACAGTTCTACCAGATGCTGTTTGTCCCAGGTAACAACTTACTTTGTGTTTATGTGCAAGTCCAAAGGTACTTAAGAAATCATAAACAATCTAAAACGTTGTGAGAACAGGTCCACATGGATTAGCCACGTGTGAGTTTGACTTTATTTACCGCCATTCACAGCTGATGGGCGGCAGCGACAGATTGCACTACCAAACTTACAGTTTAAAACTCATTAAATGAAAAACTATAGGAAACAGCTACCGAAAGTTTCCTTGGTTCACGTTTCTGGGTTGTGGTACCCAGGAGTTAACATTTATTTCCTTATTTTCATTGCATCTGCGATAGAGTTTTTAAAGAGCTCTCAACCTTGTCTCACCATGTGAAGTTTGCTGTTTGTGAGGCCGTTTCCCAGTGGCAGCTCTGTGTGAAAGCCCCGGGTGCCCAGCCAAGCTGCTGGGAGCTCTCGCAAGGCCGCAGAGGAGCGTTCGGCGCGAGGCTCCGGCGCGACGGGGCCACGAGGAGCAGCGGCTGCTCCCGGGGCTCTGGGCTCTGCTCTGCCTTGCAGGAGGGCCACACAGAGGAGCAGGAGGCTGAGGAGCAAGGCCAGGACCAGCCCCCGCCGCAGGAGGAGTACTGACTGGCCCGCGGCGCCGGCGCCTGCGCCGTGTGTGAGGACTTTCTTCTGGAGAATGGAGCGCGCGTGGCCTCAAACCCGAAACCCTTCCACTCCCCTTCTGCCGTTAACATTTATGTACCATAGTGAGTGCCAGCCAACCACTGCATTCTGTACCCATACTTTGCCAAGATGCGTTTGCAGAAGTCTTCTTTCGGTGTATCTTCCCAAAAGGTTGTAGGGCTACATCACCTACTGTACATCACTGCAACTTCACCACTTGGCTGCTTGAGATTTGTTCTGCTCTTTAAAAAAATATATATATTTATTTTTTTTTCTTTTTGTCTTAAGTATGATACACTTGTAACTTGTTCTAACATATTTATATTGGCATTTTGTGTGGCAAGAAGTACCGTACCACTAGCTGTGTCTCTCACTTTGTGGTGCTTTGGCGTTTTCTAGTAACTGCAACTTCACCACTTGGCTGCTTGAGATTTGTTCTGCTCTTTAAAAAAATATATATATTTATTTTTTTTTCTTTTTGTCTTAAGTATGATACACTTGTAACTTGTTCTAACATATTTATATTGGCATTTTGTGTGGCAAGAAGTACCGTACCACTAGCTGTGTCTCTCACTTTGTGGTGCTTTGGCGTTTTCTAGTACATCTGCCTCGGGGCATAAATTCGGTCAAGCAATTGGAATGAAGGGATACGATGGGAGTTACACTCAAGCCATAACGATGACGTGTCGTGGAGGAAAAATGCTTGTGTTGCTCACGTTTATTCCTTTCCTGCCTTCACAAAATGGAAGGCAAAACATCTGTTCCACTAGGAAAGATTAAAACCCTTGTGTTAGAAAGCTTGTTAGAAAGCTGCATGATCTGTTTTTTGACTTATTGCCGGAGGATAGACATCCACATGAGTTTTTTGAAAACCCTCCCAGTTTCTTGACTAGTCAACAGACATTTCCCAGCTTTTCTTCCTTCCTGAGGAATTGTGCCCAGCCGCAGCTCTGCATCCACAGGGCCCGGGGCTGCTGGCGGGCATGGCGGCCGCGGGACTCCAGCCTCATTCCCGACCTCCCGGCCCCGAAGAGGACAGCGCGGGCGTCCCGTTCCCCCGCCACCCTCACCATGCAGGTGTGGAACAGGGACAATCTGCTGGTCAGCGCTAGGCACGTTCCCCAAAGCCCCCGTGCTCCCCCGAGCACCGCGGAGCTGCCGAGGCCCCTTCGGGAGCTGGGAGGAGCAGCGGGAAGCGCTCCCGGAGCGCGGGGCAGAGCGGGACCAGGGAGGCCCCGCCAGCCGCTCTGCGTTGGCCGCCCGTCCTGCTGGCCGTGCACATCCCATCTGAGCAGGTGTCTGCACCGAGGGTGGCCTTCCTAGGAAGGTCCCTATGATCCTGTTCTAAATGATGGTATTTTATAAACAGAAATATCTTAATGTGTTACAAAACATTCCTTATTTTCATTTTAAAACTGCGTGTTCTGGTCTCTGGGAGTATTTAAAGCTTGGTGTTCTTGGTCACTCGATTTCTTAGTGCTGGACTGTTACCCTGGTTTAGCAGGTACGTAGAAGTCCCATCCCGGCCTGCAGTCACCGAGACCCTCAGAAACCTCCTGAAATCACCGTAGATCTTCATGGAATCCTGAAGTGGAAGTTCTCGGCTGTCCCTTCCCAAAGGCTCTGTAGTAACATCCCCCTGCCCTGCCCCTGCACACACAGACCCCGCGCAGCTCGGTGGCTCCTCAATAACGAGGTCGCTGCTGCTGCTCTGCGCCCCACACAAAACATCAAACACTGTTACACATTGAGCAGCAGCTGCCTCTGCTCAGCAGAAGTTTCTAGCCCCTCTGGGCTGAAAGTTGTTCCGGCCCTGCCTCCCGCCCTGCCCTCGCTTCCCGCCTGCTGTCCCGCAGGCCAGCACGTCGGGGTCTAATACGGATCGGTTGCCAAGGAAGATCTGGTTTATTAAAATGTGTATTTTCCAAAGTGTTTCCAGGAATCGCCACAAATGGGGGAATTGTCATTTTCATTGTATTTGTGTTTATTAGAACATATGTATTTATTACAATTGTCATTGTAATAAACAGTAGTTCTTCATAATACCGGTGACCTGAAGAGCAGTTACTGATTTTTTCCCAGGCTCCAGAAGGTCCGTTGGCAGCTGCGGGATCTGTGGTGGCGCCAGGAGCGTGGGATGGGGCTGGAGGGGTGGGCAGCGGCGCCCTGGGATGTGCCGGGTGCCCCGTCCCGCTGCCGGCGGGCACGGAAGCTGGGTGCTTCTCGGAGGGTGCAAAGGGTTGAGCCAGTCAGTGCCCCCGGGGAGCAGAGCTGGACCCTGGTGCCGCTCTCCTCTCCTCTCCTCTCCTCTCCTCTCCTCTCCTCTCCT